ACAGTACAATAAGGCTTTAGGAAATCTGCCAAACATCAACATCAAACACATACTCTTTTCTTTGACTTGTAGTAGTTTTTGGTAGTGAGGCGTTTACGCACAGGCCTGTGACAAATGGGTTTCCTCTTTGCTACATCAACCTTTTCTTTTTCCATTGTGAATCCATCACGAGTACACAATCCTGTAACAAACAAATAATAATAATTCACAACATTGAAAATATTAGTGCTATGACAAGGTTAGGGTGATTATTTAGACTACAACGACGGACAATACACGACAACGAATGAGGACAGGTAATAATTGTTGTAGTTGGGCAGGCCGAATTAAGAGATGGTTTTAGCTAGTGACTGGTTTTATTCAAGTTCCAACGAAGACTGGTGATTTGACGCTCAGCTGAGCACAAGTAAACATTAGCAAGCCACGTGACATGACAATTGACAACTGACACATGACGTCACAACCAATCACAGACAATCTGACAGGTGGAGGGGAAAGCCAATAGGAAAACGGGTTACAACACCCCTCCCCACAAAAAGAGCTGCTTTACAAAAGCTTTTTAAAAAGGTAAAAAGAATGAAAGCAATAAAATTGATTAACATAAAACCTTGCAGTTCCAAAAGAAAAGCAAAAACCATTTCCCCCGACTCTAATGAGCAGCTAATTTTTTAAAAAAAATCACATTAGACGCTGCATAGAACCAATGATGCTATTAACAGAGCAAGCGGCGAAAAAAATTTAAAATTGGAGAAAGCCGCAATAAATTTTAGGGAAAGGTCTGTACTGCAAGTAGCTAAAAGAGATAAAAATAAGTTAATACAAACCAAAAAAAGGTATATAAAAAAAGGGTGATGGATGAAAGAGAAAAAAAAAAAACATTCAAAAAAAATGACATAGAAAAAAGGGTGATACAAAAAAAAAATGATGGATGAAAAAAAAAAGGCAAAGGGGGAAAATCACTCCCGCTTGGGGGCCTGTGAAATGCGGCCGGATCTTGTCACAGTAGGTACGGCCCCAGGGTTGATGACAGTATTGGTAGAACCGCGTGGCCGTCCTCGCTGTCCTCGACCGCGAGATGCAGGGGTGGTGAGGATGCCGCCCCGTCCAAGAGGGTTCAGGCCGACCAAGGGATTGACCTCCGGGCTGAGATGCGGTGGTGACAGTGAACTCTCGCTGCCCAGCTCATGTCCTTCCTGACGAGGGCTCTCTGTCTCGTCCCTGAGGGGCTCCTCCCGAACTGGAGAAGTCTGAGGAGTCTGGACTGGAGGAGTCAGAGTAGTCCGGAGCGGTGAGGGCGGGGGCGTCCTCGGTTGCTCGGGCTCAGGAATGAGGGTCAACGCCTCAGTGGAAGGCTGCACCACGGGGATGACAATGCTGCCTGTCGCCGATGAAGGCGTCGCCGTGGCGGTAGGCAACTCCTCTGACACTGAAGGCGGAATGGGTGGGCGGCCGCTATCATCGTCCTCCTTCGTTAGCCTCCTGCGCACCTCGTCCACCGAGACCTTCAGGATGGAGCCGTCGTTGAGCTGCACCACGTAGATTCTGCAACCCAAAGCCTCCTTAAGATAACCAGCCTCCCAGGAAGTGGTACCTCTTACACGTTTCAGTGCCCAGACAAGTGTGCCTGGTTGAAGTGGAGGCTCCGTCGAAGTAAGGGTTGGCCAGCTGTCCGGATGAAGGCGCCGGAGAGGAGACCTTGAAGGCCGATTGGAGAACATCACTTCGGCCGGAGAGACGCCGTTGGCTGCCGACGGGCGATTCCTCATGGAATGGAGAACTCTGGCTAGCCTGGCATGGAAGTCCCCCTCGGTGAACTTCCTCAGCAGCTCTTTCACAGAACGGACTGTCCTCTCCGCCAACCCGTTGGATGCTGGATGCCAAGGTGGGGACATGACGTGCCGAACATTGTTGTGCAGGAGAAACTGCTCAAACTCCTTTGAGACCAACTGCGCTCCATTGTCATTGACAATGGTACAGGGAATGCCGAAATCTGCAAAGATGTATCTGATGTGAGTAATCAAAGTAGCAGCAGTTAAATTGTTTACTACCTTTACAAAGGGCCATTTGCTGTAAGCATCAATTCCAATTAGCAGGTAATGCCCCTCGACAGGGCCAGCATAGTCCAGGTGGACTCGTTCCCAAACTTCACGAGCAGCTGGCCAGCAAGCTGACGTAGATTTTGGAGGAGCACTGGCATTCTTCTGGCATTCTACGCATGCAGTGACTTCCTTCTCCAACTCCCGAGACATCCCTGGCCACCAGATCAGCGACCTAGCCATGGCCTTGGTGTGGGCAATCCCAAAATGAAGAGAGTGCGCCAGCTTTAAAGCAATGTCTTGAAGAGCGGGTGGCACTACCGTACAATAGCCTCGCAGAAGACAGCCTTTCATCATGGACAGCTCATCCCTCTTCAGATAATAGGGTTTAGCTTCTTCTGGAACAGATTGAGGCCAACCAAACTTAACCCACTGGATTACCTTGCTCAGGAGTGGGTCCACAGAGGAAGCGTTGCAAATATCCTTAGCTGAGATGGGTGACCAATCCTTGGCTTCCAACAGAAAAATTCCGGCTGGTTCCACCTCTACATCCTTGTGAGGAACTGGACATCTACTCAAAAAATCAGCATTTCCCATCTTGGATCCTGGCCTGTGGACAAGGTGATAGTTGAAAGCACTTAACTTCAATGCCCACCTGACCATTCGTGGAGATAGATGCTCTGGGATGGGTGCTTCAGCTCCGAGAAGAGAGATCAATGGCTTGTGATCCGTAAGGATTTGAAACTCCTGTCCCAATCCGTACAAGTATTGATGGAATTTGGTCACACCAAAGATGATGGCCAGGGCCTCCCTGTCCAGCTGCGAGTAATTCCTTTCTGCCTTAGATAGAGTCCTGGAAGCAAACAAAATTGGTGCATGTTCTTCCAAACCTTCCTTGTTTTTCACGATGTGACTGAGGACTGCGCCAACGCCATAAGGTGAAGCGTCTCCTGCCAAAACCAGAGGTTTCTTCGCATCGTAATGAACCAGCACGGCATCTGAAGTCAGCTGATTCTTCACTGCCAACAACGCAGCTTGATGCTCTTGGCACCACTGGAACGCAGCTCCCTTGTCGAGAAGGCGGTGTAATGGCTCCAGGATTGTTGACTTGCCTTTGAAGAAACGGCTGTAAAAAGAAATCAAACCAAGGAGAGATTGAAGGGACTTCTCGTCATGGGGTGTAGGTGCTTCCATGATGGCCCGAATTTTCTCCTTCGTTGGGTGAACACCTTGTTTATCCACTCGGAATCCCAGAATTTCCAAGGAAGAGGTTATCCAGGTGCATTTCTCAGTGTTCAGCCTGATGCCTGCTTGACTCAGAAGCAACAGAGCTCTTCCCAGTCTCTTGGAGTACTCTTCGAGGTCAGCTGCGAAAATGTAAACATTGTCTTGATAAGCAACTGTGCCCTCCAGCTTACCCAGCAAGCCGTCCATTAATCTCTGAAAGATTGCTGGAGCGGTCTTCACACCAAATTGGAGGGTGGTGGGGCGGAAGAGGCCTCTCTTGGTGTTGATGACCATCAGCATGGAGCTCTCCTCATCCACCGGGATCTGGAGGTACGCCTCTTTGCAATCCAGTTCTCCAAAGATTGTGGCTCCAGATGCCGCTGCCAAAACTTCTGAAACTGTGGGTGAACAGTAGGAATCAGTGAGCAAAGCAGGGTTCAAAGTACTCTTGTAGTCAGCGCATAATCTCAGCTCCCCATTCTTCTTTTGAACAGGGACTAAACCACTGGCCCACTCAGACACTTCCACTGGAACCCAAACTGAAGAGGAGATGTTGTGGTCCACAGCATCGTTGTACTTCGTAATCAGAGGGAATGGAATTGAACGAGCAGGTTGATACTTTGGTTTGGCTCCAGGCTTCAAGTGAAGGTGAACAGGAGGTCCATTGTATCTTCCCGTCCCTCTTCCAGTGACACAAGGAAACTTGGCTGCCCATGATGCAATGTTTTCCGAAGACAACTCTGTGGGCTTGACAGGTGCAGACATTTGGGGTAATTCCGATTGAACAGCATGAATAGTGAACTTGTCAATTTGCAATGCTTGTCGTAGGAAATCCTTGCCCCAGAATGCACGAATCCAATTCCTACCAAGCAACGTGGGAGCACGCAGTGCTTTGACTGGGCTAATCAACAAGGGCAGCTTGAAGACCTTACCTCCAAAGGAGACCTCTACACCGACGCAAGATCCCGTGGAGTGCGGTTCAGTGCAGCCCCAAGAATAGAGTTGCACTGGAGACATTTCTGTATCCAGTGATGACCCAAAAAGCTTTCTAAAGGTAGACTCTGCCATCACGGTTTTCTGAGCTCCGTCATCAAACTGCATTGTGGTGTTGACCCCATTCACGGACAAGGTGATGTGGATTGGGTCATCCTCAGGGTCGTCTAGGAAACGTGACTGAATCTGGAATAACTCAGAGTATGCATCGTATGAACAATTATGAGAAGGCATGGCAGGGGAAACTGGAGGTTCGGGCTGGGAGGACACAGGCTGCTGCGCAATCACACAGTTTGCTGTAGCAGATGGATTGCTCTTCTTAGATTTGCAAGCTTTTACTAAATGGCCTACCTTACCACAGCCCGAACACTTACAACTATTATATCCCAGGCTGCATCTTCTCACGGAGTGTCCAGGTTCGCCACATCGGAAGCAATTCAGGTCAGCTGAAGATGTCTTCTTGTTAGGACCGCCTCTGCCCTTGCCGCCGAAGTCCCTCGGTTTGTTGTGAAGATTTACTGCATGGACTTCAGAGGTGAGTGAGGTGACGGTCTGAATACACTTCTTGCTTGTTTCCGAAGCTTTGATCAGTTCCTTTGCCCCCTCGAGATCGATCTCGGGGAGACCGTAGAGGGTTTCTTGCATCTTGGGGTCCCTGAGCCCTCGCTTACATTGATAAAGCGCCATGCGGTCTCCGTGCCATCCAAGACCTAGACCCTGCACCAGGGTGCGGAGCGCCGCAATGTACTGTCCTCCTGTCTCGCCTTCCTTCTGAAAGCGGCAGACGAAGTTGTTGAACAGAACGCCCTGGTTAACGGCCGGACGCACCTTCTCTTGCAACTTCTGCACAAGGTTGACAAAAGAGACCATCTCTATGGTCCGAGGAAACACCCATTCCGCAAGGTATCTCCGTGTCTCCGGGCATAATGCCTTGTACAAGATTCCTCTCTTCTGAGCATCGGTAGTAATTGCTCTTGCATCGAAGTGGAGCCCGAGCTCTTGCAAAAACGTTTCCAGCTGCTCTGGGTGTTCGACGCTAAAACGTGGATAGTCTTCTGCCATGATGACGATTCAGCGAAACTCACCCAGAGACAGACTGAATCTTCAGAGTCTTGATGGTCTTGTAGCTGGTAGTAGGAGCCTTGAAGCCGGCCGCCGGTGGGGGCGTAGAAGCCAGGTGCGCGCAGTACCCGCCGGGTGAAGAAAAGCCGAAGGCGAAAAACAGCATCCAGGAAGCAAAGTCACGTCTCTTGCGGCTGCATTCGATCTCATCCTCGTCGCCAGTGTTGTAGTTGGGCAGGCCGAATTAAGAGATGGTTTTAGCTAGTGACTGGTTTTATTCAAGTTCCAACGAAGACTGGTGATTTGACGCTCAGCTG